TAGGTAGGTATATCCATATACACTGACGGTTAAAAGATAGATCAAGGAACCGGAGCCGGTGTCTACTCGAAAGACCTGCAAATCAACCGGTCCTTTCGTCTACCGAACGACTGCGGTGTCTTCTAAGCGGTGATCTTTAGAGAAGGCGGCCGCGGCTTAGCAGGAAAAAGACACTGTGCTATAGCACCAGTGCTTCAACGCTGGCGAATACCAACAAGTACCCTCTGCAGAGGCTGCCACGATGAGCATGAAGAAGAGTCTACAGACAAAGCGACTGAAGCACTTGCGTTCACGCTTCTTCAACAGTCTGGGCAAGGTAGCAGAGGTGGAAGAGTTGGATCTACTCGGCTTAATGGGAGATAGTAATTGGGTCAGTAGAATAATGACTTGAAACTAACTTTCTATTATAGATATGTACGTGTCTCCTGCTGACACTCACTTAAAGAGGTCACTCACAATGGACAATTCTGGATCCGTGTGAAGGTATAGAATATTCCACACATGGCCTCTTAAGCTAATCTAAGACTGTATTTGAACAGGTCCTATTTTGTAATACAATTTTTTCAGATTGAGATTCTCCCATGGCTCATTAAGGCCACGAGTATACGAAAATCTTATAAATCTAAACCAAAAAGACAAAGTTTCGAAAAAGTAAAAGTCAGGAAACGGTTAAGCACCTTCTACGCAAATGTCCAGCTTTGTGCCTCATACACACGGAAAGCTTATAGATAAGCTGATAGATGAGCTAATCAGCGAGCAGATAGACCAAACACAATACTCTTGGTGTGCACTATTTGTTTTGTCATGAATAAGCTTCGATTACAGAGTAAAAGTTCATTTGGTTATTCTGTAAGCCATTGTAAAACGTTATTTAAGGCCCCACTGATGAAGTTAACAGATCTTACTGGCTGGTGTCACCATATCAAGAGGCACGTCAGAAATCGAAGAAGAAGCTCGGCCAAGTACTTAGCAAATGTGTGGAGCGCCAATGCCGTGAAATAGCCACTCACCTTTGATTCGATTTTAAGGAAAAGAAGGAAAAACTAAGGGCCCGATTCTTTGAGAAGATAGCGTATAGAATCACTCCTACGTACTTTATATCCGTTTTCAATGGTGACTACATGCTTTCCCATCAATAATTAATAGTTCTATTTCTTCCAGGTTTTCCAACTGGAGGTGAGGTCGGCCAAGTGCAGTCCAAAATTGTTTCTTCTTCTTCTTATTTGGCACTACGACCGTTTGTCGGTTTGGCTCAAGATCAAAAAGCTTCGCCAGTTGCCTCTCTCCTTTGTGGATTTGCGCCAGTTGGCCTTCTCAAGTGCGGATAGGCCTTCTGCATTTGGTGCTTCCATTATGTCCTTAACTACTTCAAAGTTATGACTGGCAACAGTGACGTGTGTCCCAATACGCGAATACTTTTTACTTTGTCTTGCTCTTTGCTTGTGATTTCCAGCATCAGATTGAAAAAATCGCATGTGATGTGATCGCCTTGTATCTTTCCAATTTGGATGTGTTTAAAATCAACCAAAAGATGGTGTGTGCTTGACGCGTTGTAAAAGTCTGGTAAATGGTACACTTACCAGGTCTTAAGCCACACTCATAAGGTCCATTCAGTTGGTTCATTAAGGGCTTCAGTCTTTCAAACAGTAAATATAGTCGACAGGATCTTGTATGCAATATTAAGAAGGCAAAGTACACTGAGATTCCAATCTTTGGGCATGTATTCATAAGACCAAGCTCTGTTTAATAGCTGGTACATTTGCCCGGCCAGCTTTTCGCCGCCGAATTTGAACAGCTCAGCCGGTATACCATCGTTTCCAGGGGCCTTGCTGTTTTTAAGCTGCCTTATTACTGTTCTCACTTTATCTTGGTAACGTAGAGGAATGTGAGCTTCGTCCTTATACATTCTTCTACGGTACCATTTGCGTTCCTTTCCAGCTTGTTTCGCGGCGATTATATATGCGCACTTCCAAAGTCATCGTTGCTGAGGGCCATATTAAAAAACCGAGTGTGTTTTGTTAGATACATATGTATGTAGTATAAAGCGACGAAAACGGCGATGATAAGGTGAGGTGTTAGTAGAGATTAATGCGAAATTTACTTTTCGATTCTTATCAAAAAAGGTTTGAATTGATTAGTTTTTTATATTGATTATAAACACCACCAAGGCCACTTGATTGAAGCAATGTGGAATAAATGATCATTTTGTTCACAGTGCCTTTGTGTATGCTTTAAATTTACTACCTATGTTACTGTACTGCTATTAACAGCATGATAATACCAGAGAATGTTAATAGAACATTAATCACCAGCGTTGCCCCCCTTTAAAAGAACATTAACATTCTCTGGTGCTACTAGTTGGCTGTTAGCTGCTATTTACTGGCTGTTAGTTACTTCTTGACTATGCTTACGGGCAATACTGCTGGCATTACAGACGAGGAATTCAGATTAGTATGAAATGTTGGTAATAATGAAGATGTTAATGAAGTTTAAAATGAATCTCATTGATGATTATGAGTTTGCTAATGACAATAATGATTTCGAGAGGTAACACGTTTTTAATGCTGCTTGAGTGAACAAGTAGAGTAGAGTAGAAGCAGAGATCTAATTGGTAAGCAGAGCGATTGTACTGAAGTTAAGTGGAAGAATTTTAGTTAAAAATGGATTGTACAGCGAGTCAAAGAAGGCAGAGAAAATAGTAGAAGGCAAATGTTGGGCTTGAGTGAGGACAGATGGAGAGTGAGTGTGAAAAATCGAATTAGAGTACATATCGGGAATGAGTAGATAGTCGCAGCGAAGTTGGCACTAAGAATGAGCAAAGGTGTGAAATAACGAGTAGAGAAGCACATTTTTGAGGATCATGAAGAAGCCAACGAATGCTAAGATAGTAAAAAGTGTATAAAGAGCAAAAGAATTCATAAAAATGTATGCAGAGACGAACGAAAAAAAAATGAAGCACGCGCAAACATAAGCGCACGGATATGCATATAAGTGCGATTTTAACCAAAGCAAACATTGAATATGTGAAGAGCTGGAACAACTGTCGCTACAGAAGCAGCTGACCAGTGCTGCACAACTCCTGTCATCGCTGTCGCTTCCGCCGTCGCCATCGCCACTACCACCTCAACAAAATGAAGCATTCGCACTGTGCTTCACAGTCATCCTCATTGCCCACTGCGCTCACGCACACACACACACTCATAGACATTCATACACATCCAAACTCGCAAATTCACTGCTGTTTCTGCCAATGCTTCCCCACTTTTAAAGCGCCATCATTCAAACAGTGGTTGTTTGGCTGCGGCTACTGCTGCGCCGGCATCGAACGAATGCCAACGAGCCGCAACCACCGAGCGAGCAAACGACCAGCAACAATCAAACGAATTGGCGCCGAATACGACGACCAACCAGCCGACTAGCCGACCAACCAATTGGCCGACTTTTTGACGGACGCTTCGTCGATGAGTTCGACTCAATTGGCAATGTTGCTTTGCTTGCCCATTCGCTTTTGCCCTTTTGCCTCCACTGCTTTCGCTTTGGCGTTGATGTATGCAAGTGTGTGTGTGAGTGTTGTTGTATGTGTGCGCGTGTACTGGAGAGTGTGCGTAAGCTGTGGTTGGTATTTTTTTTTTGTTTTTTGAATTGTCAGCGCCCGTTCATGCTAATGCGCCTTGGCTACATGCGCCGGCCGCGACCAGTTTCATTTGTATTTGGAACGCCGGACCGGAAAGAAGGACTCGCGGGCAGCTTGGCAAACGGGCGATCGAGCGAGCTGAGCGCAGTTTTTTAGCTTTTAGCGCCTCTCCTCAGTTTTTTCATTTTGAGTTTAATTCAATTTATGGCCAAAAATATTTCGGCAAATAAAAATTTTTTGGCAAAACGCAACAAAAACACAAAAACTTTTCGGCAAAAAGTAAGCAAAAAACACAAAAATTTATGGCAACAAAAAAGGACAAAAAATTAAGCAAGAAAACAAAATTTCGGCAAACGTTACAAATTCATGAGTTTATTATTTGAATTGTGTGAAAATTAAAGAAGAAAAAAATCGAAGCAAAAAATTTTGAGTTGCATTTATTTTTATACAAGAAAGAAAACAACACTTCCAAAAAAAAAATTAACAAAACTAAAAACGTGACGCGCGCGACACAACCACGACGCGTAAAGCTTTGAAAGCATTCGAGCGAAAAGCGACCTAAAGCGCGCGCGTTGAACAATAAAAAATTCAAAATTTGAATTTTTGCGAAAAGCCAACGGCCCCAACACGGAGCAGCAAAGCGGAGCAAATAAAAAACTGCGAAGTGTCGACAACGGGCAGCGTTTTACGCCGAAAAAAGCAAATAAAAAAATATAGTAAAAAATAATGATTTATTTGCGCTTTTGACGCGCCGCGGAGGCAGCAGCAAAATTCGTCACACATCAAAATTCGTTAGACTCTTTAGTTACGTTCGATTCTACGACATTGTTTTTGAGTTCAATTGAGTTTAATTATACCAAAAATTTGAGTTGAAAACAAAGAAACAAAGTATTAAAATGCAAAAGAAGCAAAAAAAAACAAGAAAGTATTACAACGCACAAGCAACACAAATTAGTAATAAATAAGTAAGCAAAAAGCAACATTAAAAACCGACGAGTAATTAAACGAATAAATCGTACGAAAAGCAAAGATTGCGAACTTATTTTTAACATAAAAGAAAAAACAAAAAATCAAACAAGAACAAAAAAAATCCAAAAGAAAAAAACTCGATAGCGCTCCAGCGAGTGTAGCCGGCCGCCTGGCAGTCAACCAGTGTGTGCGCGAGCGAGTTAAGTGCTGCTAAGAATATTTAACTTTTTTGTGGTGTGAAATTACAAAACACTAGTGACTTGTAAAATAAACAAAAGAACAAAAACCAATAAAACAAATTAGAAAAAAACTTGAAAAAATATTGCTGAAACAATTGAAAAATATAACTGTACGCATAAAAAATTTCAAGCCAGCTATAAAAAAAACCAGCGAACAAGGTTTGCAAAATGCAGTAGCAGCAGCGCGCAAACTACCGCAACAGCAGTGCAATGTAAGTTACATATAACCCAGTGATATTTTTTGATTTATTATATTTAATATTTTTTGAGTATTTCATAATGAAATTATTTAATTTTCTAAGGCTTGTGCAAGAAAATATTATTGCTGCAAAATAAACCAGCATTTAGAAGCATAAAAACAACAACAAAAGAAAATCTTTAAACGATCGCCGCATAAATGCTATTAGCAACATTTATGCTCCACCTAGCAGCTCACTGCAACATTAACAGCCTCAGCTATACAGCCGCTGTTGCTCAACATGTTGCTTAATAGTAGGTTGCAGCGCTTAATGTTGTTAGCTAAATGCGGCGGTAATGTATTTTTAAACGCAGCTAAAGTAGCGCTTGCGGTAGAAAGATTTTTATTATTTTTGTCAGTTAGGAAGTCGAAAATTTAAGTTGCATTCTTTTTACGATTGGTGGCTGTAGCTCAAAAACCAACAGCATTTTTAAGCGTTCGAAAGTATGCGAAATGCAGTAGGTTGTACAGCGCAATGTTAGGCAGGCACATTTTGTGTTACTACCTTAGACACATAAAAAACTGTTGTTGCAGATACCCGATTGCAATAATTTTTTTGTAAAAATATTGTAACTACATGTAGAAATAAGTATGTGAAATTTCAGTTGTCTATCTTCAAAAGAAAGTGCATTTTGAAGCGGCCAAATGTAGGTAAACTTTACAGAGCGTTGTTTCGCGCAATGTTAGACAAGGTTTTTTTGGGTGACTGGTTTTAAGGCAATAAAATTGATATTGTATATGCTAAATTGAATTTTTTTTTGATAGAACTGGGGCTATAAAGTGTGAAATTTTAGTACTCCATTTTAACAAAAAGTTGTATTTTTTAGTAAACAGATTACAGAGGCCTTTATAGCCCAATATTAGACAGATATGTACAATTTGGATAACTATAAAGGCTGTCCGAAAATATGTTGCAATGATGTGATTTCAAAAATGTTTGACGAGATTGTAGTACTAATACGTAAACGTAACTGTGAAAATTTTCCGCCACGTTGCATAAAAACTAGCGCAATTTTTAGGCTTACAGAAAGTGGAAAATTACATAGAGATTTACAGCGCACTGCTAGAGGTACAGTTTGGGTAACTTTTTTCAATGTAGTCAAAAGTTATATGTCCGTTATTTTATTAAACCATTCTTTGCAAAAATATAGTCAAAATATGTAAATCTATGTGTGCGAAATGTCAGCTTTGCTTCGTATTAAGCAGGAGCACTTTTTGGCACTAAAATATGCAGATATTACAGAGGGTTTTACAGCACAATGTTAGACGAGCATATGGCGTCTGGGAATGGAATTGATGACATGTGCTCGAAAGTAAACGGTTACCTCGCCGTACTTTTTCGCTTCTTTACTGCAAGGAGTCTTGTCCTATCTCCTGCGAAATCTACGGCGTAACAATACCGACGGTGAATAACCCGAAAATCCTCGGAGTTACCTTCGATAGTTTGATCTCCTTCTCGGCGCATACAACCGCAATTGTCTACAAATTACAGAGCCGCAACAATGTGCTCAAGTCGCTGGCCGGCAGCACTTGGGGGCAAAGACAAAGAAATATGCAGCGCCCGTGTGGTCACCTGGGACTAGCAGCACGCAGTGGATGAAGTTACAGGCCTCCCAGAATACGGCACTACGAACAGCGACCGGATGCCTCCTGATGATGCCCCAACACCACTTGCACGACGAGGCCCAGATGCTCCCAGTCAAGGGGAACAACACAATGCTCTGCAAGCAGTTCCTTGTGGGGAGGTACAGACGTGGTCATCCTAACAAGCAGCTGCTTGTAGAAGAGCCCTCGCCAAAGCACGTCAGGAGGCATATCTGCGAACTGACGGACGAAGTCCAGAGGTTCATTAAACAACCTCTGGACCCGTCAGCCTACCGACAGGCCCTGAACGGCATTCACAGGCAATCAGTCTCGAGTTATGTAGACTCCCGGCCTGTGAATGCCGTTCTAGGCACACAACAACCGGACGTGGACGGGACAGAACTTTGTCTACCACAAAAACCAATTAATGCAACTTAAGCAAAATCTGTGGGAAATTAACAATAAAATACTTTTTTCGCAAAATCTTTAAAGGACCCTTTTATTTCTAAAAAAAAAACTGGGTAACATTCGTCGCCACGGTGTATATTACTTTCTTGTATATAACAATTTAAGAATAAATTTCGATTTTTCATTTGGTGGCACACGATTCGCTTGTTTCGTTAAAATTAAAAATTCATAAAATTTTAAAAATTACCAAATAGCTGCGACAGATATTCTGCATGCTGTCATTTTTTTGGTGGCACACTCTTGAAACTTCACAGATATGTTGTGTTTGATGCCAACGTCCATTGTCTCTAATATGAACATTCTATTTGAAAACTTCCCAAAGTTATAAAAAAAACTATTCTGGTTTTTTCGAGTGACAGTGAAAAAATTTGTAATTTCGGTGCTTTTTCGCCGATACTTTATTTACTTTCTATTTTACATACTTGTGTCTGGAACTCCATTGATTGAAATATGTATGTATATGCAAGAAGAATGCTTTAGCGTTTTTTTTCCTGGCAAGAGAAGGGAGTGACACTAAAAAAACCACTCGTGAGAATTGCTTATACTTATGTGATCCCATATTGCTCGCTCTAAACTGTCAAACGAAAAAAAAAAATAGCTGATGAGAGCGAGTACGATATCGATTTAGATCTGTTAAGATCTGGCATAAACTAGGGAGTTTGGAGTGGGTACGGGATCGTAACTATTGAATTGAGTAACAGCCTTCTTAGTGCTGTATATATTTGAAATCTGTAAATGTTACTTCTGGTCAGTACTGAAAAGCCATTTGACGTGCCGCAATTTCTATTAGTTTGAAAAACTGGTAGGCCTTAAAATACTTTAGGTATTTTTATTTTAATTTCAGAGTTTTAAGCGCAAACTCAATCTCTCTTAAAACGCAATAACTTTTTCTAGATCATAAAGAGCGTTGACTTGGATTTTAAATAAATTTATAATCTAAGAGCAATATTCAAAATTTAGAAAGTCGTGGGAAAATATTTGTAGCCTCTAATAAAAATCTTCCTAACAACTTTTTCTAGTTACAGAGAAAGATCCTCTTGCAAGGCTTTCCTTCAACAGTCTTATGATTCTTACAACTGCCAAAAAAATTTAACCTTACATCGTTAAGTGTCTCATAAATTTATCAATCCGCCGGATAGTTAAGAAAACAGTTTTTCATTTGTAAAGAGGGGTTGCTTGTTTGATTGCTGGTAAGCAGGGCGAGTGGCAGCCCCGAAGCTATGCCAAATACCAGAGCAGCTGTTGCTGCATGTATGTATGTATGTATGTTTTTGCGCTAGCATGTGCATATGTATGTTTCCATATCAGTTTAATTAAAAACCAACAATAACAACAGCCGGCACAGCGAAAATGTTTTTAGCTGCAGGCTGCAGCTGCTAATAGCGACGGCATGCGTTGATGGAATTCCGCTGCGTGATTTTTTTGGCTTTCGTTGGGCGTTGAGAATTATAATTAGAGCGTGGTGAATTTTTGTAGTTTTTGTTTTAAGAATTTTTTTTAGTGTTTTTTTTTTAACTTGAAAACTTTCGTTAAAAATTTGCAAAAATCAATTTAAGACGTATTTGAGGTTTTTGAACATCTATTTAAGTAAGTTTAGTTTTGCAATTAAATTTTTTTTAATACAAATTATTTATTTGAATTTTTTTTTGTTAACAATATTCACTTGAAGCGAAAAGAATGCTAGATTTTGAGATCATGTGTTGCAGATTTTCATATAAACGTTTTAGGAATACCCTTAAATTTGAAAAACAAAAGTTTTTTAGAAAGAAAGTGAACACTTACCCCTGAAAATGTTTGTGCCAAAAAAGTATTCGTTTTTCTGCAACGAAAAAAGAAAAGAAAGTTTTATATCGTATGATAATTTATTGATAATTGGAATATTTAGGTGTAAAGTTGATTTTAGTTTTAAAATTTTTCGTAACGAAAATTCACCAAAATAGGTTATGAGCTTCCTCGATACAAATTTTGTATCTTAAAGTTGCTTTAAAAATGAATCACTGCCACGAGTAGCCAGTACTCAAAGTCAATGTAAATGTAAAATTCTTATGAATTCTTATAAAATTAAAAATTAATAAATAAAATTGCATATTACTAGGGTGATTGACTCGGTTTTTTCAAAACCGGATTCCACGGTTTTTTTGTTTTTGATATCTACAGGCGGTTTTTTCATGTGGCCAAAAAATAAAAATTAATAAATACATTATTAATACTTTTTTTACTAAAATTGCAAGTATCTTCGAAAGTATTAGTCCTATGAGATCCTCCACAACCTCGATTTATCACCATGTATCTTTTCATCGAAAGTTTAGTTACTATCAGCGTAAACACATTGCGGGCTTTAGAATAAATACTAGAAAGATATGTCATCATAAATATTGAGACTACCTTTTATTGATTAAAAAACTTGCGTACCGACTATATCATACCAAAGACCTACTTGGTAGTGACATGCATACTGTTCTACACATTTTATACTATAAAATTAAAAATAAGGAAATTCAAGTCAGTAACCCCATTTTAAGAGAAAATCTACCAAGCAATAACTGTAGCTAGATGATGACTATTTCGATGAGTGGAATCAGTTCGGATACTTCCATAGATGATCGCTAATACATCCTATCATTTTGCTCGTTAAATTTTTCCTGTACGGTAAATTTTTTTTTTCCTATTCCTATCCTAATCTATCCTGTCCTATTTTTTCCAAAGCTGCGCCGGTATGACGTTTGAAATCCCCAAGTCCAAAGTGTTGGACTTTTGCTCGACATTCTTCGCTGGGCCATGATTTCGGAACGGATTCCACTGAATTCAACTTTAATGACTTGCGGCGCTCGAACTGTTCATGGATGGGACTGATCGGTGGCGGTCTTTAACATATCCAGTCTCCTCAAACAGTTTTATACACCGGTAGACTAACATGCGCCC